CTCCACTGCGGCTGAAAGTGATGAGCCTAAGTGTTGCATGGGGGGAACGACTCGCGACAGCCCGCTAGGTACCAATTGGATGAAGATCGCTGAAGGGATTGACGGGAAGTGAACCTTTCCATTGGTAATCAAGTTGCTTGTCTTCTTCGATTGCTTGTTTTCGATTGCTGGACTTTTCGGTTGTCGTCCATTCACCACCACTCAACTCACAGGCGGGCACTCTTACACCACATCTCATGCGTGGGACCAAGATGACCACAGAGGTTCGATGTGATAGAGAGAACACCAGGTAACCTTGTCCAATTGGGTGGTGGTTTAGCAAGAGATCGCCGTCCCGCCCCCAGTCCACAACTCCACTGTCACCAGCGGGGAGGAGCCGAACAGATCCGATCAGAGAATGTGTCCCGACGATCCACCACTCCCCAGCGATTTCCCATCCAGGGTCCAAAGCCGCTGGGTGGTACTGAAGGTTAGGTTCAGGGCAAAGAAGAAGAAGACATGGAGGGTTCGGGCTCCCAAGTGCCCGCCCGGGATTCACACCAAACTTTCCCTTGCGATGGAACCAGACCCCCTTCCTTTCACTTCAATTCCCCTTTCACCCGCAGATGCTACCAGCCCCAGAAACCCCACTGATCGACGAGACCATGTATGTAAGTGGCACAAGCGGAAAGCTAAGATTCACAAATTGCCCGACCTGACCAATCCCAAGACGCCTTTTTGAGACACCACTGCCGGGCTTGATTGACCACATCACGACGGGAATAGTGTGGTGAACAACAACAACAACTTTAGACTATCCAACATAGTACACGGCAAAAACCTCTGCTTTGGCAAATCATTACGGCTGTCCAGAACTTGGCAAAATGGAGGAGGCTTTGCAAGAGGAATACTTGGAGGATTACGGGCAGTCAAGATGCTTTGCAAAACGATGGGGGTTTTGCTATACATCGACCTCTATTCCCGCAGATCCACATACAACTCTTAGGGTATCTCAGCTAGGCCCATATGGAAAAGTAAGAATGCCCGGCCGCTAGTTGGTAGTTGGTATAGGGGGGTGGGGCGAGGAGGTTCAGCGGGTTTGTCGAGGTCCGAGACTAAGGCAAGGTCTATTTCTTTTTTTTTTTTTTTTTTTTTTTTTTTCCTTCCCTCTCTCCCCTGATTCAGCGGCCTCTGAAACGTGCCCAATCAACGAATTCCCTTTAGACATTCTTGGTCCCTCTGCGCCGGTGAGCATGCCGGACGGAACTCCTCTGTCCCAATTCGGCTACCCTCGCAGGCTGGATGCCAGCTGAAGATAGCCAGGGTCGATGGGATTGGGGGGAATCCAGTCACACTACCTAGGTATTATGACCCTCCTTCACCTCCATACTCTACCTATTTTTTTTTTGGTCACCGCCCTCGCCAACATTTCCGTCAGTCCAATAGGGCCAGCCTTCCAAGGACTTTGCTCGTCACATACTGTGTCTCGGAGGGTTGAATCGCGGTCGAGCCTATGATGGAGGACAAGAAATGGAGATGTCTGCAGGCGTCCTGCGAGAGAGGGATCTGATATGCTCGCAATCAACGCCAAATCCACCCCATTGTCCCCCCCACGTGTCCCCATCACCAATGATCGGCTTTCGGATTGTCGGTCAGGATGTCATCGTACTCCATGGGCTACCACAGTGGCTGGTACTACAAAATGCAGGAAGGCGGGGGATGCAAATTTGATCGTCCTCGAGTATTCCCCCGAACATGGCCATCTCCGAGTCTTATGGTCCCCGAGTGCTACGAAAGAACGACATCCATGGACCTTCCAACCCGAGTCAAGCAAGGGTGGAAGGGAGAAAAAAGAGTTGCATAATGCAACCGAAACTCACCCTGTTCGACCTTTCCCTTCCCTTTCACTTGTAAGACGTACCCCTATAATGCCGTTCAAGACAAGAATTTTTTTCTCGAATCGGATCGGGATTAGCAAGGTGGCTGCTGTGGAAGGTATTTGAATCAAAAGTACCCCGGTTCCACTTCCAATAAGGCGAAAATGTTATCAAACACATACATACACCTCACGCTGTGTAACTAACCCCCTCCCCCCTTTCCCCTCTTTCCAAGTCCCGACATACCGGAACACGCTTTGTCGAGGTTTGAAGGACTTCAGTTGGGTGCTTGGTCGTGAGTGCCGGTGCTTCTGTTACACACAGGAAAAAACAAACGACTCAGGCTGGTAGGAAGTCATCATGGATAAGTCCCACCTCTTCCCTGGCGAATATGAGCCTCACCATCACGGTACTGCTCATGGCCAAGGGCCCAACGCAACGGACCGGGCATCACCGTTCAGTGACCACGACCACGAAGACTACTTTTCGACACATTTGCCTTCGATACCTGTGGCACCGCCAGGGACGGACAACAAAGATCCCATGACGGGCCGAAATCACCGGCCGCGCAAGATCGTCTTGTGCTTTGATGGAACTGGCAACAAGTTCCAGGGCGATGACTCGGACAGCAACATCCTCAAGATTTACAGGATGCTGGATAGGACGGCTGATGACCAGTGTAAGTTCCGTAATCCAGACCAGCAAGAACATGAAAGCAGTCGTCATGCTAACAGTCACTCTCAGACCACTATTACCAACGTGAGTTTTCATGATGAATCCAATGCCGGTAGTCACCACCACACCATAGCAGCTAACCTCCTTGCACAAAGCCGGCATCGGCACCTATGTCGTCTCCACCAGCCTCACCCGCACCAGCGCCGTTGCCCGGCTGCGCTCATGGTACATCAAGTCCAAAGACTCGGCCATCGGCACTTCCTTCGACCAGCACGTCGTGGGCGGTTACCGCTTCCTGATGCGCTTCTATCGCACCAACGACGAGATCTACATCTTTGGCTTCTCGCGTGGCGCCTACGTCGCCCGCTTTCTCGCCGAGATGCTCGACTACATCGGCCTGCTCTCGCACGGCAACGAGGAGATGGTGCGGTTCGCCTGGAAGGCCTTCTCCAACTGGCAAGTCCGTCGCGCCGACGACTCGCCCGAGGGCGCGCAGAAGAAGAAGAAGATGTACGACTTCCTCAAGGGCTTCCGCGAGACCTTTTCGAGACCCGTCAGGAGGATCCAGTTCCTGGGCCTGTTTGATACCGTCAATAGCGTGCCGACGTTTGAGTCGGCGTGGATGGAGAGGAGCAAGTTTCCGTATACGGCAAGGACGTCGGCCAAGGTGGTCAGACATGCGGTTAGTATCGATGAGCGGAGAGCAAAGTTCAGGCAGGACTTGATCTACCAGAGTGCGCACAGGAAGTGTTCCAAGGATCGCCATCCGGCGAGGGAGAAGTTGCATGAGTTTCACGAGAACCTGAAGTATCGCGGCCGAGGCCATCACCCGCACGCTGCCGGTGCTGCTGAAGGTACTGGTGGAATGAACCGTGGCAGAAAATCTAACCCGCTTGCGGTGCCTGAGCAGGAGCCAGCTCCTTACCGCACGCGTTCCCACTCGGTTCGGTCTCGAAGGACCAACAGGTCCGGAGTATCCGGTCGAGGCGGTCCCAATCATGACGCTCATTCCGAGGTCTCTGTCGGTCCTCACCCCGAGACTGACGATGACGGGGAAGACTTTGAGTCATCGGAGGACGAGCACGAGCAAGACATCGACGAGGTATGGTTCTCAGGCGGACATGCCGATATTGGCGGCGGATGGAGTGTCGAAGAAGGCCAAAAGCCTGCATCGCACATCCCCTTGTGCTGGATGGTCCGCGAAGCCATGCGCGCCGGTCTACACTTTGACCCCGACAAGATCCAGGACATGGGCTGCGTCGACTTGATGGACGAAATGGGCATCGAACACGGCCCTGACACCACTGCCGCTCAAAAAGACCACCTCAAGTCTGAACACCTCGGAGGAGGGTCAGCAGCGACCGACGGCAACGGAGTCGCCAAATCCTGCACATGCTCCAAATCTCCCCAACAACAAGTTGACCGCAACACCATCCCCAACATCACCGTCCGCAGTCCCAGCACCCCGAGAATCTTCCAGCAATCCTCCTGGAAATTCGACTCCTTCTCCTCCTTCAAGGACAAGAGCGGTTACAAGTCCGGTGACAAACCAACAAGCTCCACCACTGGAAAAGACAAGGAAACAGCCCCCGACGCCATGACCAACATGAACTGCCCCTCCAGTCCAACAACAGTCGAAAACGGCAGCCTCAACTCTCCCACCAGCAGCAGCAATAACAGTGGCACCTCCACTTCTTCTTCTTCTTCTTCATCTTCATCATCATCAGAGTCCGGAGGATCCTGCCCCCTGCACAACCCCCCCTGGTCCTTCAAAGACATGATCCACGCCTGCCACACGGCGCGCATCCACGACTCCTTATCCTTCGACTGCGGCCTCAGCTTCGGCTCCGTACTCGCCTGGAAAATGATGGAATACCTCCCCTTCCGCCGGCTCGACTTGAACGAAGACGGCAGCTGGAAACCGATCCGCTGGCCTTTGCCGTGCGGCGAGGTGCGCGATATTCCGGATAATGCGAGGGTGCACGGGAGTGTGATTAAGCGGATGCAAATGTGCGAGACGTATAGGCCGGGCAATCTGATTATTGGTGGTGGTGGACGGGGTGTGAGGGTTGCTGGGAAGGAATACGGGATTGGCGAGTGGGTTTGTGTCAAGGAGGAAGGGGATCCGGTTGGGGAGGTGTGGATGAAGAAGAGCGCGCTGGAGAAGGCGGCGAGGGAGGCGGCTGGGTTGGGGAGTGACAGTGATAGGGAGAAGGATAAGAAGAAGAAGTGGGAGGGAAAGAAGGATGGAGGAAAAAAGAAGGAGAAGAAGGAAAAGAAGGAGAAGGGAAAGAAGGAGAAAAAGGAAAAGAAGTAGGTAGGGTGGGTGGTTACGTCGCGCTCGGTAGCACCTAGGTTTTTGATCGCTTGTTTTTAGTTTAGGATACCAGTTTACTTGCTAGGATACCTCTAGTCTATACCAATTTGACTCAATTCGGCTTCTTCTTTCCCATTAATTCCCAGTTCCACAAAGTGAACTCATCTAAAGCAGCTAATTCACAGATCGTGACAACTAACTCCAAATCCCATATTCACATAGCGTGCGAGACTCCGTGCTACTTCCCCAGCTAATCTCTCTCTTCTGGCTCCCTGCAACTTGTTGACAGTTGCCCTGGACTCAGTCACTCAATTGTTCCATCGGCCGCAAATTTGGTCCAACGATCCATAAAGGCATTCGCCCTTCTCGCAGCCTCTACCATCGAGGCTTTGCGCATGTCTATCTTCGCCTGAAACGCGTTGAGATCCCGCTCCAATTTCTTTAAGGCGGGGTCCATGTCATCCGCCACCTCCGCAACCATTTCCGCTTTCTTCTGTCTCCAAAAAGCTCGGATCGAGTCCGTTGACGCCTGAAACGCGTTCGTTTCTTCCTCGCATTGCTTCAGAATTGCGGTACAATTGTTGTACTCTTGTACTGCCGTGGTGAATATGTTAAAAATGAAATCTAGATCGTCGTCGTCGTTACTTGCAGTTGCAACAGGGTGTACCTCCTCGTCGTCGTGATCGTCATCCACAGAGCGGCTAGAGCCCGTGTTCAAATTTGAAGCTAGCTCGGAGGCAGCAGAAGCTTCCTCGATGTCGACGGAGACATGAGGATCAGGCAACAAGTCCTCAGCCTGCGCGTGATACTCGTACGCGGGGTTCAAAGGAGGAGGCGACGAAGCCGGCGTGGAGAGCTCGGAATCGCTAGGTGCAGGCGAAACATCGCGGCCATCAAGGGGAAAGCCGGAAGTATTGAATCCCCCGCATGGAACACTCAAGGCTCGGGCGCGGCACATGTCCTCAGTCATGGTCTCAACCGTACAAGTAGGGCCGGGCGACTCTGAGCGACCTACGTACATACGGTACATCCACGTCAGACATGTCTCAAGATAACAACTCGGAACAGTGACATTCATTATGAGACGTACCTGACAAGCGATACATGTTGCGGTAGTGAAGGCGAGCCTTGGAGACCTTCCACTGCTGCACGTTGAGTGGATGTAGAGAGGTTGGGGTTCGCCGCCGTAATTTCTGACAGCTGAATACGGTTCAGAGTGATGCTCGTGGTGACGTTTGCTGTGATGCAGATGACGATATCGAGGTGATCTTGATGAAGCAGGAGTTCGACGGCGTTATTTTCTCTCACGTTGACACCCAGCCAGCCGGCCTGCCGTACCTGTTGCTGCGCGTGCGAGGTGACTCAGATGTCAAGTTTGCGAGGGTCCTGAGAGCGCAGTGATCTAGAGTTCGTTCGCGTGCAACGCCTAAATGAGTTGGGGAGGATGGAATCTCTAGTGGTATATCTAGATGGCGGGAGATAGGAAATGAAGACTGCCCTCGAGGAGTGAGAATTACCAGTGATGCGGTAGAGAATGAAGATGAGGATAAAGTGTGAGTGGGAGGTGGAGGTGAAGGATGGGTTGCTCGTCGAGGAATTCAGGAAGAAGTGAGAGAAGGGGAGATAAGGAGAGTGTCGAGAACAGAGAGTGTGAAGCCGCGTGAGATCACTGTCAAAGGAACACGATGAAAGTCAAGCTACTTATTCTTATTTACCTCACCCTAGCTCCTGTTTGGGGTCAGTCTGGGATGAAAATGAGTCGTAGGGTGTCATACCATTTGCCTCCATCATCTGATGCCTCGACAACCATCAAACAGAAGAAACAGAGAATCGAATCGAGACAGAGAGCAGAGATAGCAATCGAACCCCTTCACAAACAACACCTTCAGGAAGTATTCACTTCTTCTCCAACACAAAAACCACCGGTGCCTCTCCAACCGCCTCAACCACCTCCTTCAACTCCAACTGCTCAAACCGCTTCTTCCTGAACCTCAGCACTTCCTGCAAACATCTTCTAAGATCCGCGTCCTCCACCGAAGACTCGTCGCACAACCCTTGCGCAGTGCTAAACAAGCCGAAAATGCGTTCCAGACGCTTCGCCACTTGCTTCTCACCGGCAGCTCCCACGTCATGATCCCGAGCAGCGTCACGATCAAGAACAGATTGAGACTGATGATATAGCAAAACCATCAAAGCCACTCTAGCATGCAAAATCGCAGCAATGAACGCCAGACGCGGTAACTTGGCCTCGGAACAATCGTCGAGCAGGACAGTGCCAGTTTGCAGGAAAGAGCCCACGGAGCGCTGCAGTTCAAGATCAGCGCGCGTGCCGAGCAGGTTTTGGTCCTCGCCCATCTTGACCGACAGTCTGAACTTGTCGCGGAGTATTGCCTCTTGGACTTTGTGTTCAATCAGTCTCGCGCCTAGCACCTTGAGTTGAGCGGGTAGAGCACCTGCTTTCTGTGCCCGGGGATCAGAGCTCGCTTTAGGACCAAGACTGAGTCCGTTCATGGCTCCCGTCAAGGAGTCATGGGCCATCATACGCTCTTGCGTCTTCTGGCAAAGAGCCCTCAGCTTGTTGCAACCCTCATAGCGATCCTGGGGAGGCGATCCCTCGGTTAGTTTGCCATGGTCATCGGCCGCCAGCTCTTTCCCAAGAAAAAGCTGCTTAGCGGTATCGACATCAGCATTGTCAGCCGACTGTCTCAGCTGGTCATCGACAAACGCTAGCATGCGTTCAATGTCCCCCAAGCCCCAAGTAGATGGCTGGCAAATTTCACACGTCTTGTGTTCCACGGCGACGCGTTCCTCTTGGCCGTGAGTTCCTTGTCGACACAGCCAGCATGTGCCTTGACACTTGTGGTTACAGGGCAGCGGAGCATTGCACTTTGCTTCACAAAGAAACCTGCTCGAGGAAACGTCCGTGGAACAATCGACTGTCACCCTATGACCACAAGCGGGTGCCTGTTTATCCACCTTGACGCGGCAGAGAACAGACTTCAGGTCCAGGAGTTGGTAGCATAGCAGCTTGTCCTTGGTATGTCCACACGGGAGTTTGATGTCTTTGACAATCACCATACACTCTCCACATTCTCTTCCACATACTTTGGGGCAAGCATGCTTGCATGTTTCTCGAACTCTAGAACAAGGCTTCGGGCAGATGACGGCCTTGTGTAGCAGCTCCGAGTGACACTTGTTCGGGCAGGGATGACCGCAGACTGGAAGCCGGTCGGCACAGGCAAGTGTACAGCCTCCCTCGGGACTGACATAGACGAAATCTTCCGGTGATGTACAGTGTATCGGGGTTTTGGGATGCCGGGGACAACACAAAGGAATGGAAGGACCTGCCGCCTTTCTGGCCGAGATCTGCCGGTAAACATCCTTCCACATGTCCACAGCCGGGAACGTCGCCGCGTTGCCAATGAGGTACATGCCGTGCTGAACTCGACTGAGGAGAACGTTGATTCTGTTCTTCAGCCTCAAAAAGCCTACTTTGCTCTTTTTGTTGCTGCGGACAAGAGAGATAATGATGACCTTGGCCTGCTCGCCTTGGAAACCGTCAACCGTAGCAAGCCGTATGCCATCTTTCATCTGCATCTTGCCCGACGGTAATAGAGTTTGGGTTGGGATTTCGGAGTCTCCAACCATGTTCTTCTTGTCGAATCCCTGGGCAGCTAAGCGTTCTTCATCTCTTTCGCTCAAGACAACCTCGAAATACTCGTCAAGTGATGCCTGAAGCTTGAGCAACTGGCCCGCATATGGCGTAAGAATGGCAATGTCTTTACCTTCGTAAACCCCCTGACGGACAATATGACGGACAAGGGCGGTAGCCATCGCAACTTCCATGGAGTTGATATAAGACATGCCCTGGGCTGCATTCAGGCCAATGTCTTCTTCGTAGCCATGATCCCACCAAAACAGTCTGTCCCGTAGGCCAACCACCATTGGGCGGTCCTTGACGCGAGAGCCATCTTGAAGGTCTTTGTAGACATTGTTTCGGATGAGTGCCGAAATCTCAGGTGGCATACGTTGCTGCTCGTTCAGTTGGATGACAGGGAGAGGCTTCATTCCAGGCTCACCGGTGACACGTCTCTCGAAGAGGCTGCGGTCAAGCTGGTAGTGCTTTCCAACCTGGGTCTCCATGCTGAACTGCATCGAGTTCTGTACCAATGGGCGCAACTGCTGGTGATCGCCAATCTGGATGAGATGTTGAACTCCAGGTATGAACGCTGCCATCATGCGAGGCTCCATTACCTCAGCTGCCTCCTCGCAAATGATGACCTTGGGTTTCAGTTTGCGAAGCATTTCATTGTCAGCGGCCAGTCTCGAGGTCGTCATCAAGACGATATCTGCACCCCCAAGAATCCGACAGTCGATATCGGCCTTGACTCGCGCGAGAAGGGGCCGAAGACTCTGTGCATGGTGTAGATGCCGCATCAGAGACTGGGTTTGATTCCGGGCAAGCTGATCAAGCCAGTGATCCACCAATGTCCACCGCTCGCCGACTGCAAGCGAAAGGATGTTGGCCTCAGCTTTTACAATCAAGCGTGAAGGATTAGGAGCATTCGTCTGCGAGCCTTTGACTGACTGTGCCGGCCTTTGCCCAAGCCAATTCACGACAGGATCACCAACAAGTGTAAACCCTGCAGCATCCTCTGGTTTGAGTTGACTGTAGATCCTGGGGTGTTCAGTCGATAGAAACTCCTTCAGAAGCGGCCAGCCTGGCCGTCCTGCCATTGCTTGATGTATTGCATCAAGGCAGCTCCTGACACGGGAAAGCGTCGTTCCAATATTTACACGCGCTTCGCCCCTCGCTCTTTTCTCTCCTTTTGTTGTCTCTTTTTTTCTCCTCTTACAAAGATTGTATGTCTCCAACATCTTCGACTTGCTGCGGCTTCCAACACGTATAACATTCTTGATGCCGGCTTCAACGATGTGCTCGCCGAACTGGTCTAAGGCATGGTTGGTCTCACATCTATGAAGGAAGCTGAAGTTAGCAAGTGGTCACAGGTGAGGAGCCGGACATGAACTTGTATCTGAGTAACGACTTACACAATGAAAATGGGTGAGAGCTGGCAAGTCGTTTTGTGTTCCACCAAGACCTTGACAATTTGAAGACCGACATACGTCTTCCCTGTACCGGGAGGCCCCTGAATCTGGACGAATTCTTGGCTAAGCGCGGCGACTAGGGCTTGGGCTTGACTTGCATTGACCCCGGTAGCCTTCTGCAGTGCGATCATGTCCTTTCCCTGCGGTGTTTTGTTCGGATCCAGTTTCAAGCCAATGGGTTGTTTTTCCTTGCTGATACAGTCAAGCTTGTACGCAAATCCCTGCTTGCGAGCATAGGCTGGTGGGGGAACAGTAAGATGTTGTTCAGCAGTCTTTGATGTGGGAATAATCCACTGTTGGAACGCCAAACCAGTGTCCTTGGACATCCGTTGGATGTTGGTTAGTGTGGGCCCGTAGGCCTGCGGAATGAGCCCACAGAGCTCGAAGAGATGCCCCTGTACTTTTGCAACATGTAGCTCGTTAAGTAGAGTCATGTCCTCCTCGGTCTCTCGGGCCAGCTTAACAAATACCGTAGGCCGCATTCTCGACATCCTTTCCTTGAACCAGTCCGAAAGGTGCCTCTCTTGGTATTCATCGCCCCCGATAAGGTACAGCATTTGCCTTCTCCCGCGATGGGAGACCACCATGACAAGCAGTTTACCCGGTTGAAGGCGTGCGGATTCCACCCACCATTTAGCCTGGTCTGCCCGTGACAGGTTCCGAAGGTGCGGGAGCTGCATAAACGATATGGCACACATTATACCATTGTCCAGTTCAACGCCGACCTTCTGAATGACAGCCGCATTATAAAAATGGGCTAAACCATTTTGGCCCAGTTCAGAAGGATTTGTGTTGGAGCGGTTCTCGGCCGGACTGCAGGCTAACTGCTCGCGAAGGAAATCTTTTACCGTCGAAAACGTATTGTGACGATAGAGCCGGAAAAGTGTATCGACATAACGTTCTCTGGGATCCTTGAGGAAACTCTCCTGTGTGAAGTCTGTTGTAGGCAGATATTCCAGTTGCTGGCTCATGATCTCTCCGTGGGTTGGTAAGATCTGGATATCAGCAATTGCGATGCGATCATTATCGTGGCGGCCACCCGGCTTTGCTCCGGGGCTCGGGGTAACTAGCTGTGGTTGATTTGCGCGCAGATGGGTCTGTTTGGCAACAGTTGGGGCTTGTGGTGAATGGCTTGTATTTGTGCCCCCAATGGGCGCCGGGGCACTGCGAGCGGTCGTCCCACCAGTCTTGGGCGGTACTTTTGAGCTTTGAGCGGCGCCAGCAGCCAGCAATATGTGCAGAACATCGCGAAGAGCATGTGAACGGTTATCATATTTGAGAGGCGGGTACCGGTCGAGTAGCTTCTTGAGCGCTTTGGCTGTGAAATAAACCAAGCTGTGGATTTGTTGGACCTGAACACGGTGAAAGAGGCTAGTAAGTGTTGTCAACCACTCAATTCCTTCCACGCCGTCTTCTTCGCCAATGAGGGTGTAGAGCATTGCAAGGTGGTTGCTGGACGCGGTTGGATGGGCAACTAAGGAAGGGTGTGTAATGACTTTCAGCAAAGCTTCGTACAGTGCAAGTCTATACCTCCAATCCTGATGGTTCAGCGATGTAGATATCGTCTGCCTGAGGATGAATGGACCTCCTGTCTTGCCATCAACCAAGTCGGCGAGCAGGCAGCTATGTGGCACGCTACTCTGCGTCTCGAGAAGAGTGTATGCTTCTGCCCAAATATGTGGAAGGCTGTTGGCACCAGAGTCTCGTAACTTGCGACATTTCAGGGATTCCCTCCAGCGATTATACGCTGCTCTTTGTCGGCGATCGGATGGTTGAGCGGCTTGCGTTTTGGCAAGTGTCGTCTGTTGAACATGACTCTTCGGTTGTTGCGCTTGTGGCTGGTTTTGCAAGGATTTCTGGGTTTCTGTAACGGGGGTCTGTTGCTGCAATTGGGCCTTTGCGCGGTTCTTATTTTTTGCTTTCGACATGGCTTGACTCGTAGGCTCAAGGTCGGCCAGGAATACTCAGACGTAAGATGAGTACTCCAAGGAAGCTGGACAGGAGGAGTCAAGAGGCGCCGGCAGCGAGTGGAAGAACGGAACAGAAAAAAGAGAGAGGTGGATGGGCGTAGGAAATGTAGACGGCATCGAAATGGGTGAAGGGACGTTCGGAGTCTGAAAGGTGAAGGGCCAGCTACTTCACAGACCATTCTCCACCACGGATAGTCGGGTACCAAGCAAGGCGCAGTTTTCCGTTTGCTATTCGCTGAGATTTTCCTGCACAAGACGTTGTAGGCCTCAGTGCATCGTGCACGTCGTTGCAATGCGGCTCATGCCGCTGACAACAGACAGCGGCGTCAAGAACTGCCATTCGTCGCCTGGTCCTTTCTGCATCTTTGAAATGGGTCGCTAAGACTGCAAGAGGCCTGAAATTCCATGTCGTTGCTTGCCTGCTCGCCCAAAGACCGTAAGTGACTAGAGCACCGTATGGTCGATAAAGGCCATTGACAAGCCAATGGGAGACAGTCTTTTGCAAGTAGCAACCGTGTGACATTTCCCGAATCTTTTGACAATCTGCCAAGGCGTGTTAACTTTACTCTCGCCGGAGACTTGGTCCGCAATCATTTCTTGCTGGATGAAGCCATCGGTTATCATATGCAGCCTTGTCGCCAAAGGACCACCGATCCTCTGATATCACTTGATAGTTGCACAGCCAACCGGCTGGAGCTAGGCCTTGTAGCCCAGCGAACAAACTGAAAGGACGCCATCAGGGCTCAATGCCCAGCCACGCAGCTGTCTCGCTCGCAAGATGTGTGTTGTGTAACATGGGGAGGCGCATGGACATGCCACACAGCATCTTGCAAACGGGAGCATGTACTCAGACCCTTTTCCAAACGGCATTCGCCAGTTTTTGGATCACTAGGCCAAAGTGTTCAATCATCGATTTAGGCCTGTAAGGACGGGTCAAGACAAGAGAATGGTCAGAAACATGGATGTCACGTGCCAAGGCACGCTTCTTTACAATTCACCCCCTCAACCCCCTCAACCCCCAAGCCCCCCAATTGATCGAGCGGGCCAGGCCGACTTGGCAGTGACAAGACAACTGCGGGGGAAATACAGGGGACCAATATCGAAGACCAACAGACGAGGGCAGGGCACGTTGAGGATCGTTCTTTGGCCAATTGACCACGTTCGATACTGGGATGTGCCAACTTTGACATGATAGCAAAGATATCGCAGAACATTCTTTCGACTTCGAGTCATCCCCACATTGGAATGATCACCGTGCATGTGAGCGGGCCGCTGTAGAGGAGGGTTGCTCCACTGGCACGTTTACCCCGTGGGCAAGCTGGGCAAGCTTGGGGGAGGTTTGTGCACACAGCAAGTTTGAGAGATTGGGACCTCCGAAACGCAATAGAAAAAGAAAAAGGCATTAAGAAAAGAGAGAAAAAGGACTCAGCTGAACTTTCAGAGAACTGTTGCGCTGGTAGATAGTTCCAAGTACTCCGGTTTCGAGTTCACTTACTTTCGGTTTTTCTGCAACTTCTCATTTTGTTGGAGGTTCAGTGAATGAAGCCCTTGATCATTCCGTGTCAAGGGTCCAACCCTCAAAAGCACAGGTGAATGAGTCCGGGAACAGAAGACCCTGGAAAGAGCCCATGGCTGTGAGTACTTGAGTCATGGCTCGTCGAAACACTCCCACCAGCAGCATCCCGGGTGACCAAGAAACACAAGAAGGGCTTTGGGGGTGGTGGCTGTCCGATCACGGCATCCCACATTGAATATGTGGTACCGTACGTCCTGACCCGCGACCTTTTGACCTTCCCACCCCTCCTTTTTCTCTCGCCAGCCGACGTCCATATCGCTAGCATATCCCGCTGACTGTAAACTGTAAAAACAAACCCTGTGATAACATCGGCTTTGTGCTTCGCAATTGGAGTCACCATCATGGCAAGCCCAATTGAGCCCTATACCACTGACAACATGAACAACGAGGCACAGCATGTGTCTGATAGCGACAGCAACTCTACGCTGTGTTCCGACGCGGGGGAGGCATCAGCTCTCCTAGAGTCGCAATCACCCAAGCCGCCACCGTCGTATGTGACCTTCCCCGAGACCCATGAAGAAGAGGAAGAAAAATGGAAGCCAGGGCCGGGATTCTGGTGCGTCGAGGTTGGTAGGTAACCGCTTGGTCGAATCAAGCAACCAAAAGAAGACACTGATGTTGCGTGGACAGCTCTGTGGGCCAACGTCTTTTTATCGGGATTCGACACCACCATCACGGCGTCGACGTATGCCGCCATCAGTTCCGAGTTCGGTGCCGCGAACAACGCTGCCTGGCTAACGACATCGTACCTGATCACGAATACGGCGTTCCAGCCGCTCTATGGCAGACTGTCCGATTTGTTTGGACGGCGTCTCTGCTTCTTTGTATCCACAGCAACCTTTATGGCTGGCTGTCTTGGATGCTCCGTGGCCCCGGTTATGCTGACCCTCAACATCATGCGGGCCGTGGCCGGGGTTGGGGGAGGAGGGTTGATCACCATGGGTGACTTGACCTATTTTTTTGTTGACAATTTGGCTCCTCGGAGAGCACTTGCTGACCGCAGCACTAGCGACTATCATCAACTCGGACATGATTCCCTTTAGGCAGCGTGGCATGTACCAAGCGATGCAAAACATTCTGTATGGGTTTGGGTCCGTGCTGGGGGCATCCCTCGGGGGCACCATTGCCGAAACGGTTGGATGGAGATGGTGCTTCTTGTCGCAGGTGCCCGTGTCCCTGGTGGCTCTCGTGGTCGGGTACTTTGTGCTCAAGAACCCGTTGGACCTGGTGGATCTGGCGGGCCCAAAGGGACGTGTGCGGTCTGCCTTGCAATGTCTCGATCTGTCCGGGGCCACGCTGCTGGTGGTGGGCCTCGTGGTCCAACTCTTGGGATTGAGCTTTGGAGGCAACGAGTATCCTTGGTCGAGCGTGCCGGTGGTGGCGGCCCTGGTCACGAGCTGTGTCTTGTTGGCCGGGTTTATTGTGGTCGAGGCCAAAACCAAGGCAATGCCCATGATACCGTTGCGGATGCTGCAGGGCTGGCAACCCAGTGTGGTGCAGTTGAGCAACCTCTTTTCGGGCATGGCGGCGTATGCTGTAAGCACCGAGTGTTGTTCTGTTTGATGGAGGAACTGCTAACCATATCCTGATTGCAGTACATGTTTTTGATCCCTTTGTACTTCCAGGCCGTCCGGGGAGACTCGCCGTCCAAGGCAGGTCTGAGGCTCGTGATGCCGTCGTTAGCCTGTCCGGTGGGCGGGGTCATGGCCGGGCTGCTGATGCAACACGGAATACGTCTGAGCTATAACGTTCGGTTGGGAACCGCCATGACGCTGATCGGGAACATGCTCGCAGTGACCTTGGGAACGACGGGCGATCGGCGAAAGGAATTCATCTACCTGGTACCGGCGACGCTGGGTCTCGGACTGACGCATCCCAGTATTCTGTTTAGCTTTGTGTCTTTGTTTGAGCATCGAGGTAAGGTTGTCACGGTCAAGAGGGGAGAAATGACGGGAAGATTTTTGCTAACTCGGAAGCAGATCAAGCGGTAGCCACGTCGACCGTGTATCTGATCCGGTCCATGGGCACCATTTACGGTGTCACCATAACGTCGGCCATTGTGCAGAATGTCTTGATGGTGAGACTGCCGGCGACGCTGGGAGAGGCGGCAACAGACACGGTGAGTAGCGCCATTCTGACGGAATGAACAGCTGGTCAATGACAATCACCCAATGAGTAGCTCGTCGAGAAGCTGCGCAGGTCGGTGTTTGCGCTGCGCGAGCTGTCGCCCGAGTTGGAGATGGCAGTCAGGGCCTTGTACGGGGACGCCCTGAGGATTTCGTTTCTGGCGTCGACGGCGTTTGCTCTGCTGGCCTTTTTGTTTTCTTTTGCGCACAGAACGGGAAAATTGCAGAGAAATGGCTGAAAATGTGCGAAATTCCGACTGCTCAAGTCGGTTGAGGTTTCCATTGTGGTCGCTGATTACGCCATTGAGGAAGGCGCGGGAAACATCAGATGTCAATTGTGCCCGCACCAAACCAAAAGAAGGATGGCGTGGTTGTTCTTTCATCGCAGTGCGTAGAGGTACATAGTACAAGTACCAGCTGCCAGCTCCAGCCAATCACAGTAGCGGCCAGACAGCTGCTGCCGGCTGCGATTCTCTCCACACTCTCGTACCTTTCGTTGTACCTTTGTACCTCGCTGCTCCAAAATGAGACAATTCATCACTCATTTCAACGACATCCATCATGGTCTACTTGGGTTGCCCAACTAACACAGTTTCACAGCTTACGATTGGAGGTGGGTAAAATAGCGTGGGAAGTGTAGTCTTTTTGAGCTACTGATCAGATGTGTCCCCGAAGATCATGGCAACTGGCACCAATGACCAGAGGTTGAGGTGAGGCTGGTGAGCGTCTGGTCCTGAAGACGAGCGATAGGGGACAATGAGAAAGAACGTCTCTTTAATTTCTACGGCAAACTGCAATCAACACAGTTGAATGAAGGAAGCCCTCAACTGAACCATTCGACAGCAGTCAAACGGCAACCCCTGCACGTTGATACTCACCCGCCCGAATCCATCAGTCTTCCAGCCCAAAAACGGGACCCCTTGAAAACTCCTTGTGCGCTCGCTCATCCTCATCCTTTCCATGAAGATCCTTCAAATAGTCCTTGAACTTGATCATCATGTTACACACCTCTTCAAAGTCTTCCTGGTCCAGTGTCGGCACGTCATTCTCATCCTTGTCTTCTATCTGCATGAATCGGAAGTCGGCAAGAGCAACGGCGGTTTGGAAGGCTGTGTATGTCGTACCGAAAGTCGACCTATTAGCACGTACCCTGAAAGGTATGTTTCTCAATAGTGTGTAACGATGGCGCTCGAAAGGGATTCATTGAAAAACAAACGGATGTGACGGCTCACCGTTTCGAATCTCTCGGCCGTTCCACGGCATGCTCGTAATATCCTTATCCTCCAGCACATAATCTTGAGCGCGTCGTGTGATCCGAAAATCAGTACGTTCAGAAGACAATTTCTTGAAGAACTGCCGCCAGATCTTCTTCCTGTCTTGGGGCGTTAGGCTCTTGTAGTGGATCACCACATGGATACGTGACATGAAGGCATCGTCGAATTGGCCAACTCGGTTGGTCGTCAAGAACAGCACGCCACGGTAGTACTCAACACATCTGAGGAACACTGAGCCAGTAATATACCGAGGTTAGCTGGAGAATGCAAAGTGAACGAAGCATTGCTGACATACCCGATACCAGGCTGTTGCGCTTGAGATCAGATGTTACTCTCTTCTCCAGAAACACGTCAGCCTCATCGATGAGCATGACCGCTCCCCACTTCTCTGCCAGCTGGAACCATTTCATCAGCTTCTTTTCCATGCTGACATCCTCGGTTCCAATGTCTGCGCACGTGAGCGAGAGCAGCGGCCTCCCAGTGTACTCGGCGATGCATTCTATAATGAACAAATCGCTGTGTTAGCGCAGATCAGAATCCCGACAACGGATACCATCAATGTCATGTACTAGGCAATCAAACGGGAATTTGGGTCCTTGCCTGCGGTCTAAAATCCCATATGTTAGCATCGTTGTTCTGCCAGTGTGACTGGGATGTCTTCCCACTGGCTAGACGAAGGGGGCCGGTCTTACAAATGTTTTTCCAACACCGGGGCTTCCGTGAAGTAGGAAGATTTGGCCTTCGCCTTTGTTCTCGATGTGGTCAGCTCTCCAAGAGGCCGCAGGAACTCCAGGTCCTTTCGCATCACCAGAGTACTTCTGGATGAGAGCTTTGATCATGTTCTTGGTCTCCTCTTGAAGCACCAGCGTGTTTATTGCCGTTGTGTTCCGCTTAAGGTCCTTGCAGAACCGCACGTCAAGCATCACTGACGTTTGCGTAGCTGAGGTTAGCTGCTGACGCATGTACAACGGAAATGAGTTGGTCCGTGGAGTAACAATTGCACTTACGCCAGTTTCTAGATCTCAAGTCAAAGCCGAAGAGTCGTCGATTGCATAAGAGATACCTGTGCTCTGGATCTGGGAAATGATCGGGCAGTTTAAGATCTGATACTTCCAGTTTATGAGGGTTCAGGAGGTCGTAATCAGTCCAAGGGAATCCGTGAGGTGGGTGCGGCCGGAATCCGTGACACTCTTCACAGGGACACTTCGCTAAACCTCGGCCCATATCGTTGACATTCCCCAAAAGTGGAGGACGTCGAAAGGTAGCCTCTCGTAATTTTTCCTTCTTCTCACTGCGCGTGTCCTTCTCAGCCGTATCGTCTCCATGCTCAGAAGCGCCATTGACATGGCTTGCGCTTTCAATGTTGTAGTATGAAGCAGTGTCAACGTAGACGCGGCCTTGGAGCTGTGCGAGCATCGAAGGTTAGCAGGTTCTCCTATTCACAAATGGTTGCGGCTTTACCCACCTCACGCTTCCTGTCATCCAGCAGGCGACCAGAATATGATACCTGCCTTCCACGTAGCAGCTCAAACCATCGTTGTCCATCCTTTATCAGTGCTTCCCGGAGCTTTCCGCCATCTTCCTCATCTTTGTACTTAGCAGGGATGATGTTGAGGTTGGTGATCCTGCGCTCTCCTTCAAAAGGAGGTAGGTACACATCTCGAGCTTTCCTTCCGACGTAGCTCCCGTCGTAGTCCAGGTTCCATAGTCCTACTTTCCATCCTCTCGGGCGTTCGACTGGCCCATCTTCCGTGATTTCTATCCTAGCGTCGTAATACACACACGAAAAGACGACAAAGGCTGCGAGACTCCCGCGAGACTCAAGATAAACAGTGATGCCCGGTTTGTATAGAAGCCACACCATGTCATACGTGCACATCTCTCTGGCGTGCCGCACTCTCTCGTCAGCAACCTCTTGGCCATTGATGCTCGCTACAAGCGCCAAGAGCTGTCGTAAATGCGTCTTCGCAAGTTTTGTGCCGCTATCTTCATCAGGCTGCTCAATGTACTTCTCGAAGTCGTCTAAATGATGCCAAACTAACTCATGATGTCGACCCAATTCCAGAGTCTTCCCATGAAGATCCTCCGAGGGGTAATAGGAAACCAGCTTTCGGATTGCTTGAGTAAGAGCAGGGGACATGGCGGTGACCGCGATTCTCCAAACCGCTACATCCACAAGTGGATTGTTAAGAATTCCGTCTGACTTGATTTTCTCAACCTCGTAATAGTCTCGTCGCCAATTGCCGCGTATGGAGGTTTCCAATACTGTCTCGACCCTGAGAATGGGTTTCGTCTTGATTTGGGAGAGAACGCCTTTTCTGGCCTCTTGGAGATCAAATGGCCCTTGCCACGGTTTAGAATAAATCAGATGATGCTCATCATCCACATATCGAACGGAGTACGAAAAGTTGTCCGATTCGCTCTGGGCCGACTCTACCTTCTCGCTAGAGTTATCCTGGTCGCTCTCTCTATCCGATATTTGAATCTTGGGTTGGTGCAAAGATTGATCACATCTTGGACACTTCCAGTAGCCGAATGCGGTGAGTACTGCGTGGGATTGTCCAGTTTTCTTACAGTAAAGATCGACAGGACCTTCAGCCGTCCAGTTTCCGGCTAAAGCCTCCCTCCCTGCCACTGGCGTCGAACTGACCCTGTCATCTTCACGACTTGTCTTTGGATTTGCGGAAGAAGGTCTCTGGACAGGTTTGTCGGTACTGTCAGTGGTCGTGGTGGTGTTGGCGCTTTCTTTGAAGACCATTTCCTTCGAGGTGTCTACCGCGCTAGGCATGGAAGGCAAGGCGCTAGCTTCTCCAGCATTTCGTGCCGAAGAACCTTTTGAAGGTGCTGTGGTGGTTGAGTCTTCTTTGGGCCGCAATGTGGAACTGGAAATGGTCGTGGTGTTATTGCTTCTTCCAAGGTGTCCGGCTGGGCAAGTCACGACAGAATGATAGTCATCGCTCCTAGGATGATTCGTCTGGTGGCCAACCCCAATACCGCTGGTTTTGGAAGACATTGCTGGGAAGCGAGTCTCATCAGATCTGAACCAGACGAACGCACGAGACTCAGAAGGGCTCGAGGTCTGGGCTTGGTGGGTTACGGTAATCAACCCGATAGAAAAAGGTAACGGACAGCTAGTGTCAGGGCCAATGTACAGGAAGTGATTATGGTCCATGATCGAGCCGACAAGGCGGGGATGGCCGATGATTTTAGCCTTCATCATCTGAAGGTGCTTTGCAAGACAGCGTACTGTGCTATTTCCAGGAAGACGGGCGCGGTGAATACTGTACCAGCTGCGAACCAGTGGGCTTGGTTGTTGCTGTAGCCATTGAGCATGCAACTCTCCGTCCTCATCACGCATCTGCGCGCTATCACACCAGAATTCTTGTTCAAACCAGGCTCACTCTTTCGTTATGGTGACCACGAGGTCGCCTCTTCCCTGTATATAGCCCGCCTCAGCTTCACCCGCGCGCTTAAATAGGTGATTTAGAGCTAATCATATGCGGGAAGGCTCAAGACAGTAATTGGATTGACGTTCTGGTCGAAAGCAAAGTGGGCGGACAGAGCTCATCCGGAAACCCACAGTGCTCAAAGATGGAGGTGACAAAGTAGCTCGTCAAGAGAACAGTAATCCATGCGGCTGTGTCTTTGGCGATCTAGCCGATGTTTGTGTTCTCCGAGTGTTGAATGCAACCACGGGAAGCCGAGTGCTGGCACGGCATGCTCGAGTCTTGCGACGACGCCGTGTATTCACGACTGTTGACTACTTGGTGCTAGAGAATGCAATCATGGCCTCAATCGAGATTGTCTTATGTTCCCGCCATAGGGTAGCACACGCGGGTTGCCTTGTTGCGCCGAAAACCCCGCTCAGGATCAACCATATGCATTTGTGCCGATGCCCAAGCTCACTACATGCCAGCAGCCATCTTATTAGGTATCAAGGCTCAACCGGTTAGCGCATCAATCATTCAACTTCCAACTCCATAACGGCAACAAAGAATGGCTCGCGCAGGCAAGGACATCTCGACCACGCTGGCAACCCCTCCGAATGCAGCAGTTCCTATCTCATTGCCGGAATTGAGCCGAGCAGGCGTGACTCCCGAGATATCTCCCTTGGTGCGCAGATTCAGCAACAAGGCCGTTGTTGAGCAACCGGGTAGCATTCCAATCCGGGCGATGGATGCTGTTGTGAGGAGAGAGACTGATGCGCAGAGGAAAAACCAGCAGCGGCTCGTCGAGTGGGGGAGGTGGCTTGATTTTGCGATGTGTTCAACGTGAGTTGCGAGCCCCTTCGGTACCTAAAAATAAGGGGAAGAATATTGTCGTGGAGGGGCTTAATTAACAAGCCTTGGGCGTTAAGGGATGATGATGATGCCTTCCCAACTCTCGAAGTTCAGAGCAGGGACCTGATTGATACCTGGAGGCGCCTCTCGAAGTCGCTTCCGGGAATGGCGGACTTGTCGCCCCAGGGAACATGGATCCCGACAATCTCGACACTCAAACAGGCCGTTGTGCAAGCTGAAAACGCAATGAAGGCCAAAAAGCTGAATGGCTTTGGATTGCTCAAGGACCGCTTCCACAGTCTGATTCAAACCCTTGATGATCATAAGTACATGTTTGCAATCATCCCACAAGGAGATAGATATGTCAGCCTCTTCACGGGGGTGGTTTCATTCATCGCAAAGGTGAGCGGTCTTTCTCAGCCTGATCTTCCGTCACACCTAAACAACACAAACGAGATGTAAGAAACATGGCTCACGTGAGTGGTAGGCGTCGATAAACCACATCAAGATCGGCGAGTCGTTCTCGATAGCTCTTTCAGACGTAAGCCGCGACTTGAGTTACGTTAAAGCATCGGCAATGGTGTCGGACACTCCAATGATGAGAAAGCTCGTTGTGGAGATTTATGTCGAAGTCTTCAAGCTTCTCTGTCAAGCTTTGGGATGGTTCACAAGCAGAAGCCGCCGAACCATAGCTGCCTTGGATAGGAATTATTATGCCCGACATGTACAGCCGTTTATTGACAGAATACAGAAGGCAATCCAGCGTATCCGTGACGAAGCGCATCTCGTGACGCATGAGGCCGTCCAGGAAATCAGGGACATGGGGCATAAGCTTTTGCAACGAACAGCTGGGCGCGAAAGCCGCCTGGACAGCGAGGAGATGAGCCACGAAAAGCTCAGTCGAATGGGAGAGACACTCGGATTCTCAAGCGTGCAAACACTGAGTTCTGTTGAACAACAGGCAACACATGGTGAGTCACCGCCCAGGAAGATGTCCAGTTGTGCCACAGTGACCTTAGCGTACCATATAAGTTCAAGTGTCTGACTCCTTACACCACGATAGAGAACAACATTCGAGCTGTTTTTCAGAACGCCCACCGTATTAACTTTTTCCAAAAGCCAGCGACAGAAACACCGGACGGGACAATTGCGGCACAAGGAACAAAAAACGAGTGCCTTGGGAACAGTGATATTGATGCGATGGATGTTGAAGGTGAGTACGGCGGTAGGCGTAAGCCTCTTCGGTCCCGGGACAGATCTGACTTGTGGGCATTACAGACATGGAAAAGCCCTTGATGCATCGTAGCGACTTGGAGCGGTATGCTCCCGCTTTTCTCTCTCGCTATCTCGAGGACGGCAGATCCGATGTCTCTCGCAACCCCAGTGACGCGTTCTCTACGCTTCTTCCCAGCGAAGTTGTCACCGAGCTCCAGAAGTGGATCACCGCCCCCAAATCCAACACGGTATGGGTCGTCGGTCGTCCCGTCTCGCCGTTTGGGTCCGGTCTCTCAGTTGCTGCGCTTCGGGTCTGCGAGATTGCGAAGGAGATGCGCATTCCCTGCATATCCTTTATTTGCAAGCAGCAGTATTCGTTTGCCTCTTCGTTCTCTGCCATCCGCAAGAACGGAAGCACAGGTAGACTCGATCCCAAGGAAGCCGGTTTGATAGCCCTCCTTTACTCTGTCATTGCCCAACTGATTTATCTCCTCCCGGACGAGCCCTTTCCAAGCAGCGTGGTGCTGGAGAAGGATAGCTTCGAGCGTCTGGATGGAGCCATGTCCAGCGCTCCCACAGCATTGGAGATCATCAGGGAACTGGCAATCCATGCGCCACCATCGCTGATATGGGTGCTTGACAATGTGCAGAACATGGAAAGCACCACAACCTATGCACACCTGAAAGAGTTTGTCGAATATTTGCGTGAGCTGGAGAGGAAGACCAACTCGGCGCATGGGGAGGGGAAGAAGCCGTTTTCCAAAGTTTGCTTCACGACGGATGGCAACTGTGTGCTGCTGTCTCGCTTGTCTCAAAGGGACAGGGGCATCGGGCAGATCGATGCGTCACGAATGGCACAAAGAAGGCCGGGAAGGGTTCTGCCAGGTGGAGCAGACGTGGGACAATTGGGATGGAGTAGGCGCTGAGCCTTTTGGTACGAAAGAGGACGTCAAAACCTGGGGTTGTATCCAAGGGTTAGCGGTCAGTTCTTGATGGGATGGATTTTTCGAGGCAGGGGATTGAATGGGTAGGGAATGGGATGGAGGACCTACTCGGGAGCCTTTTATGTGCAAATGCCATTTAATTTTCGAAGAGGTCCGATTGTCATTCTCCCATGGTCCCATAGTGTTGTTCGCAATTCGGTGGTGCAAATTCTCTCGATAACAAGTCGACGGGAAGAATGGGCGCACTCAATCGGGCACGAGGACACTCGGTGTTGGCAGGGCAGGCAGACGGACTGAGAATGCTGTGGTGTCCGTGAAAGGAAAGAAGATAGATTAGTAGTAGTAGTGCGGTAGCCTGCTTTCCATTGGAACGAAGTGTTTGCAATTGCGCCTTCTCCAAGAAGATACAAGGAGGAAATGAGTCTTGTTGGCGAAAAGAGGGTGTCGCAACCGACGGGTAGCACCTGCAGTTAATCAAGGCTGTGTATTGCGCCGGCCTTCCGTCCGTCCTTCCCAGGCAGGCAACCGATGATCATCTCGACGGAAACAATTACGACAACGAACAGACTCGTTTGATAGTAAATCAAGCACGGTGGTTGAATCTGCCACCAGCTCGAAATGATACCCGCAAAACGCAATTGGCGATGATGCTCCACATAGGCCTAGAGGTAACAAACAACACCCGACCACGAACCCCAAAAGGACTCGGCAAATTAGCTCTGGAAATGCGGCCCGACACTCCCTCCATCGTCTCCGAATCATTCACTTGGCGGATGAAAATGCGATAAACATTCACCAAAAGGTATGATGGTAAAAACATTTGACAAAAAGAAGAAAGTAACAAAGGAGATATAGTACAAGTCATGCATTGTTGAAATCATTCACCTCGTCCTTCATCCTCTCCCATCCACTCACTTTCGTCAACAGCCCACTTACAACTCATCCTTCATCGCAGTCTTGACCTTCTCCATCACCTCCTCCACCTGGGTCTTGAACTCCTCCACCTTTTCCACCTGAGTCTTGAACTGACCAGCCCTTTCACCCTTCTCCTGCTGTTGCTGCTGCTCCTCCTCCTCGGGAACAGAGTCATCGACCTTGAGCACCTGGGCTTTGATAGTGAACTCCATCTCCCTCTTGCCCTCGGCCCTGTTGGCGCGGGTCTTGTCAACGGGGTAAGCGACGACACCGCCGTCGGTTGGTTTGGCTGTGTACTTTGTCATGTCAGAGAGGGTTTCTGTCATCAATCAATTATTAGCATGATGCATAATACTCCTGGGACTTTGCGAAGAAGACGAAGAAGTAAAACTTACCCTCACACTCACTCCCCTCCGCCACCCAAAGCGGCGCATTCTCATAAAGCGCCCCTGGCGCAAAGATAACCACCCTATTCACATCCCCCTCCCTCCACTCCCTTTCCTCCTCCTCCGTCTCCGGCTTCTTCTCCCGCAAACTCGTCGCCGTCGCCACCACCTTCTCCCCCTTTTCCACATCGGCTTTGGCCAACACCGCAAACAACCCCTTCCCCTTAGCAGCAGCAGTACTCCACTCCTCCTCCTCAATCCACCTCCTCACCTTGAGAGGAACATCCACATACTCCATCATTAGCATATTCCGATCATATCCATGCGGATCCACCCCGTCCCAAGACCCAGGGTAAGGCCGGTTCGTAAACGTCTTGCGCAAAGCTTCGACCCAGGGAATCAAGCCCAGAGGCGGCAGCTCCTGCAGGTCGTCGAGGAGGTACTCGGTGGCGCGAAAGGTGCGCTGAGAAGAGCAGGTCGGGACGAAACGGGTCGGGGCCGAGGCTTCGGATTCCGACGAGATGGTGATGCGCGTGTTGTTGGCGTCTGCGAAGGGATTATGCCACGGCCAGTTGGGCATCAGGTCGGGCTTTCCGGGGAGACGCTCGGCGTTCTCGGGGACGGCGGGGCCGACGGCTGAGGCGACCGTGGCCAGGTAGGCGTAGGTTGCCGCGCTGAGGAGGGAGGTGGTCTTCATCTTTGCTGCCTGTAGATTTGTTGTGGGGGGTGTTTTGGTGTGTAGGTTGGTGACGGTGGTGGTGATGATGATGATGCTCACCAGTGGTCAAGAGTCAAGAGAAGATGGAAGAGAGAGAAGTGATAGCGGAAGAAAAGAAGAAGGAGGATGAAGACGGTCCATGGTCTCGGCTTTGGGCATTTTCTTTACCACATCGGGCAGTCTTGATATTTGGCAAAGTGCAATGTTGTCCTTCGGAAGGCTGTTCCGCATTTCCAAATTCGATCATGGCCCGAAGTCATCACCTGAGGAATTCCGGCGGCTTGGAGGGGAACATGAGGAGACAATTGGAGATTCCAGGGGTCTTTTGGAGTCGCTTCAGGGCAGTTTTGGGGAAATTTGGGGTCATTTGGGGAAGATATGCGGAGATCGCCAAGAGCGGGAGTTGGAGGTCGGTGGGGCTGCTAGACGGGACGACGTTCCTTTGTGCGGAGAAAGTTGGGGTAAAGATCTCACAGCCATCCGAACTTGACTGCGACAGCGGCTATGTATGTAGGAGTACACTCCCGTCTCCTCCCTCATCCGAACCAGGCTCGGGGCAAGCCATTCCGATTCTGGTCACTGCAATTGCTGGCCTTTCGTCTTTACACTTGGCTCTATCGAAAATCAGTCATGGATGTCTTGATAATAGAGGTAATCATGGTGACATTTATGGATGATAATCGTAGGTCGCCGAATAGCATCATAGATCGGTCTCCTAGTATTACTACTTCGTTACCTTCCGTGATTGCCTACCGACCCTTACCGCCAGGCACGGAAGCCTTCTTTTGAGACTTTTGAGACGACGAACGCGACCCAAGAGTTCCAGGGAAGGCCTTGATATTAGCCGCCGCAAGGATGGCCGCAATAGCCTCGTCGTCACTGTCCTTTTGCGACTTGACATTCTTCTGGTTCTTGGCGGGCCAGCCAGGCCACTCATTGGGACGAGCAAACAGCCGCCTGTCATGCTCGTGACCATGCTCTTGCAGCTTCGCGGCACCATAAGCTTCCCAGAGGGGATTGGCGCCCGAGACTCCTCGATACGCAATGTCTTCAACGTCCCACGGGCTCGCCCGTGCAAGAGGGTGATGCTTGCCCTGAAACGTCGACATAGCTCCGAGATATACCATGAACAAGGCCTCGGCCAGAACGATCAGTTGCAGGTCCTCCAGAATCTTGGTGGGAGTCTTGGAGGCCATGGGATTAGGAAGCCGCAGAAGAATAAAAGGGAACTTGGGCATTGTGAGATTCAAGGCGGCGTCCTGGATCCAGGTCGCACTCTTGGCACCTAGGGTCTTGTGCCGGGCAAAATAATGGGTTACGAGACGCAAAAGTAGCCCTCCTCTGTGCGAAGCTGCTGAACCGACATAGAGACTGGCGTCTGCGGTCTTGTAACTTTGGCTTTGGGTTGGGCGCTCTATAAGGCCGTAGACGCCCAGCTCAACGCCCGCGTTCTGCTCATTCACCTCGAGCCATGGAAGCTCCTTGAGCTTGGCAATGGTCGGCGGGTATGGACTAGCCAGAATTTCTCTGACAGGATCGGATAGGATGTCCACTATCTGGTCGATCCACTGGTTCGGGCTCTTTTTCTGCAAACCCGAGACCCATTCGGGATGGGGATAGCAGTCGAGCAGCGCGTCATAAATCGAGCGGAGTCGGCGTTTGATCTTGGAGTTGAGAAGCCTGCGTCGCTCCTCCGCTTGGTCAATGCCCTGAACATCATGATAACCCGGACCCCAGTCGAACTTGTGCGTGTCGGATGGCAACGAAGGGTCGCGCTGACGACACAGCTGGACAATAAGTTTTTTGTAGAAAGCCACTTCGTCTAGGTCCACGTCATCTCTCCCCATCCGCTTAAACACCCGGGAAAGAGAATCCCCCCGAATCCAACCGGATGCAAAAGTCTCGATGTCGTCGGGCTTCCAAGGCCGAATCCACTTCTCGCGGTCGGGTAGCCAGACCCTGCCCCTTTGCACCGTGTATTGAACGAGAGCATCGCTACCGCTATCTTTCCGTTTGCCCGCGGTAGTAGCTGGAGTTGAACTGAAGGATCGGAGAGTGCGCAATTGTGCGTAGGCAGAGATGTGTTGGGTATTGGAATCGCATTGAAGGGAACGTGGCATGTGTGGTCGAGATTTCGCGACATGCGCCCGCTGTAACACGATCAACGGACGGCGGCAACATATCGCCAGTCCCAAAACCCGGGAGGAGTGGCTCATGTTTTGTGCGGTCGGGGCTCTGTTGGATTTGGCGTTTCTAGTCGATGTGGTGACATGGAATTCGAGTGGCGGGAGGCCCGTGAGAGTCGCGAGAAGGTCGTAAACGTCGGCAATCGCGCGCGGTCGTACGACACGGGAGTGGATAGGTTGTTCAAGAAAGATTTGGTAGGTCGAGGAAGAAATGAAGCACCGTCGTGGTGTACGTACACTACAGATCAATGAACTATTCACTGTGTATGAACCGACCGTGACGGCCTTTTCTGTTGTTTATTGACACAGATGACTTTTGCCTTTCCACAGTCAGTCGCTTTAAGGCCTGTTCGGGTCCGCGATAAGGATAAGGTGAACTAACTACCTCTGAATAGCGGGAGACCCTAACCCTAGTTCCGGCTCAGCCATTAGGCTACTCGTGCCTCGACCCCACTTCTTTTGGGGACACGCCAGACCCGCACGCCTTGACTGCTTCTGAGTTTAAGTACCTTTCTACTAATTTGCTTTCTTAAATTACTGTCACGGCACCATATAACATAGTCCCGTCCCTCTCGGCGTTCCGCCACCGCAACCCAACCGTCCTTTAGTCAACTTTATTGAATCTCTATTTGGTTCATATATATAGTTTAGGAACAGAATTTTCGCTACTCTCTTCTAATCTTCTCCCCTTCGTACAATATTACATCTTCTCCAAATCCTTCCTAATCGGTATCGTAATAGTATATTACACCTTTTCTACTAAATTAACGGCCCAATAACCTCCTTATCGTTTCGTCTTAATTTACTTCAAAATTGGTACCAACTTCTCCCAATCCCCTAATCCCAACCCTATTACACTATATATATAATTTAATTATACTTCGCCAAAACTCCCCCTTAAAAAACGCCCTAAACCGACAACCTTACTTTTACTATTACGTTCTATTATTATTACATTATATACCCTAATTACCTATAATACTTTACCTCCTTTTCTTTATATAATATACTATTAGTATTCTATTACTAAAACCCTTGCGTTAAATTATAAATAATTCTATAAATTTATTAAATGCGTTTACCCCCGGCTTTAACGCTATATTTATTTATAAAATTACTATTCGGATTCTCTTCCGTTTAAATACCCTCCCCTTTATTTATAAAATAATTAAGGGCCTATAAAAGGATTTTTCTAATTTTACTTCCGCTTTAAAAATAGACTCTAATATCCTTACTTAATTTTAATTTTACTTTACTACTATCGAAGACTATTTCGGCCGGATTTATAGCGAATTTCGCACCGCCCGACGGGAAGTTTTAAACGCTTAGTAAGCGGCTAATTAAATTTAATAAATTGCTACCCAAAACTTTATTATAATTTTTTAAATATAATAAAACCTTATTAGGGTTATAACCGAAGTTACCGCTGTAATTATATAAATCTAATAAGCGTAGTAATAATTTACTATAGTTAAAGATTAGGCCTAGCGATAAAATACTAATATAATAGTAATATTAATTATAATTACTTTAATTATTAGTATTATTTGCCTATATAGCGCCGAGCCCCCTATATTTAGTAGCGCCGAAACGTCCTTATTTAAACGTTAGGAAAAGTATATTAATTAATAATTCTAATTAATTACTAAATTAATATTTAATTTTATTACGTACTTAACCCCAGCCGACTATATCCTTTATATTTCTTAACGCCTTTTTAATAATATTTATACGTATATTCGGGCTAAAATTAATATTATTATTCTTAATTTCTATAACGCTTCGGCCTAATTAATTAGGTTCTCCAACTTCTAAAATATCCTTACTTACCTCGACCTTTATTATATTATTTTAAATATTTATATTAAAGTGGTACGGGAAATAGATTATTTTAAATAGGGTAATACCCCCTTCGTTAATTTTATTACTATCTTTATTAAATTAATTAATTAATATAAATTTAATGGATAATGCTATATTAATACTTTTAAATTTAAAATTAATAGCGCCTTCTAAAATACTTTAATTAATATTATTATATAATTAATAATTAACGATTTTAATATATAGGTTAAGTTCCTCCGGGTTTTAATTAATAATATTAGTAATTACCGTTACTGGAATAATAATTCTTTAGCCCTATCCTGCCCGCCGCCCCCAACTAATAATATTAACGACCCTATAATTCTCAATAAGGTCGGCGCCCCCTAGAAGGGACCGATCTCTTAAATTAAAAAGGACCGCCGCTAGAAATTCAACCTATATATATACTATAGCGCTCCTAGCTATTATACAATAATTTATATAGCGAAGGCTAAACCGAAGCCTACTAACTTCGCTGCCGCTTTAATATTTTTTTAAAATATAAGAAAAGCCTAACTTTTAATATAAGTTGTTGCTAGAAGCGAAATTTAAGGAAATTGGAGGACTTATATTTATATTTTATAAAATCTAATATTAATTTCTCTTTTTCGAATTCCCTTCGTTTTAATGTTAATTCGTCGGTCCCTTATTCTATTATAATTAATTCCGGCTACTCCTTAATAGGTTTTATTAATTCCTTATTCGTATACTACTATAGTATCCCTACTACGCTATTCCCTTAATTATATACCCTCTACTTAACTAATAGCCGGAAAAGTAATAAAATTTTATATATTTATATTCTATTCTACTCTTTAAATTCATTTATAAACTATTTAACCCTATTCGTATAGCCATTCGGTAATTTAAATATAATCTTCAACTTCCCTTAATTATAAAAGTATAATTTAAGGATCGATTAATTTAATAGTTTTATAGAATTCCCGGGTTTTATTACTATTAAAATTCCGGCCCCTATTAAACCCAACCAATAAATATTTAAAAATATCCCTCCTAATCCTAGCCCGGCCGGAATTAACCTTCTAATTACCGTACTAATTACTAAACCCGCCCCCTAAAATAGATTTAAACTTACTATAGAATTTAAAGCATTCCGCCGCC